TTTTTTCTTTTTTGAGAAAGTGTTCATTAGGCAGTTGAGGCTGGTCTTAAGATCAGTTGGTAGCCCAGGCTGCTCTCAGACTTGCAACAATCTTCCTGCCTCAGTATCGCAAGTGACAACATTATAGGCATGCACCACCATGCCTGACTTTCTGTCCCGTTTTAAAGAGATTTTGATTTTTGCCATTTTGTACAATTAGAGCTCTATCATGACCCAATGAAGACCCTCTTCCTTTCCTGTGATCTGTTTGTCATCCTCTCTACTAAAAGAACTTTGCCTTGAAGAGTCAATTTTGAATCTCTTTACTGTATATTAAAGAAAGTGTCACCCTATTTATTATTTATTGACATTTCTTACATAGAAAAGTTACAGTTTTCATTGACATAGCAATGGTAAGATCTGGAAGTCATAAAAATTTTTCCTCAAATTTTCATTTTATTCCTGGTGCCTTTTATTTGCAACACTTTGGTGATCAACACATATAATATATATTGGTCATATACATTTCCCCATTTTTCTCCCATACAGTACCTTTTAGGTCATTCAGGTATAAAATAATGCATTTTTCTTAATCAATTTCATTGTTCTAGATGTTCTCCATAAAATTAATATTTTTATTAACATACCATGAATTTTAGTTTGTGTTCAGTTAATGTTTTGTCTATGAAATAAGTCAAGTGTCGAAATGCTAAATAAAAGCAGAAAAGAGAGGGATTATTTCCCTAGTGCTAATAAACAGGGTATCCAGTATTCTCATTCTGCTGTTGCTTTAGCCATGAATTTCAATCTAACATGAGATTTCCTTTCTCAAATGGTTATAATGATAGACAATAAGTGCTTGATGACCAAAACATGAAGGAAACATTTGAAAGCCTCAGCCTCATCAGTTTTTATACATAGAGCTGCAATATTTCATGTTTGAGTCTCACTTTTTCCTGGATATACATGTCTAATAATTTAGGAAACAGTGTCCTTTGAGGATGTGGCTGTGAACTTCACCATGGACGAATGGGATTTGTTGGATCCTTCCCAGAAGAAGCTCTACAGAGATGTGATGTGGGAAAACTTTAGGAATGTGGCTGCTATAGGTAAGGAAGACATCCTTTTCCATTTATGCATTCACTGAGCATTGGTTGTTGCACATCAGTGTAGTTTACTAAACTAGAATATGGAAACACTTGATGACTCTTCCAGTTTGAATTTAACTGGAATCTATAGACTTTCATGTAATGCA